TTCTATAAATTTTAAAAAATCAATATTAATAATGCAAAAAAAAAAATGTTTTTTTTTTCTTTTTCTAATGGAAGATTTCTTAATTGCTCTTCAGAAATTGGATCACATTATAATCATTCTTATATTCTATCACCTATTGAATTAAATCCAATGGACTCTTAGCGTTAGAAATAACCAAGAAAGTTGGTAATACTATCATCATTTTTGCATTTAAAGTATTTGAAAAAGAACTTTTTGCTAATCTTTTAAAAGCAAAAAGATAATTTATTGATGATTTTCTAGAAAACAAAATTTAATTCAGTTCATTCATTGTACAAAAATATCGATAGAATAACATCTCGAATAAATCAAATATGATTTAAAACAACTGTAAAGGTATTGATTTTAATATACTTTTATTATAATTTAAATTCATTAAATACTGTACATTAATGTTAGACGTATATTATTTGTAAATGTGCATTAGAATAATTAGAATGTTCGAATCTATAAGTTTAAAATAAGTTTTGCACTTAAATAATAAATGCTTTATACTGGAAAGTGATTTTAAAAGTTATTTTATACAAAATTTTAAAAAGTAAAACAAAAAATATCATTTAAATTTTTATGAGGTTTATACTTCTTGTTAAAAGTCTGGTTTTTGCATGATCTTAAGTGCTATCTTCTGTAAAGTTATCAGCAAACGTCGTAGATGTATGAATTAATAAATAAAAATATATTAATAAAATTAATTATCGCTGTTAATAAATAGCTCCTTAAGCGTGCCATTTTTAACTTCATGTAAAATAAAAGTATTTTTTAATATAATATGAGAAACTAGCAAGAAAAAAACTATTTCTTTAACATTATTATAAATAATAGACATGGAAAAAATTTATAAGATTTTAAAAAATATAAAAATAAATATTGTATTTATCAAAAACGTGAATTTTATTCTCATTTATTCTTTGCAGTTATTGTATTTTAAACTATAGGCACGTTTAAACTTAAAGAAAAGTCGACTTTTCACTCCGATTTCATGTTAAAACGAGAAGGACAAATCTATAAACTCTAAATTTGCATTTTCTTCTATTGTTAGGAATATTTAATATTTTAAAATCGACATTTATTAGATAAATTTCGCAAACATAATTAACGATTACCTATTCAATAAAAACATTGAAAATACAAATGAAATTCTGTTAAATATAAAAATATCTATTTAAAAAAATTTTTTTTAAATTTTAACATTTCAAAAATATTTGTTGAGATAAAAATAATGTAAAACGAGCAAAAGTTATTGTGACACATCACAATGCCCGGCTGTAATTTTTTATCATATTTTTAGTTAATTTTTTTAAAAATATATGCTGTCAATTTCAAATTAGTAGTGTCTTTACCTTGTACGTACGTACATCATATATGTTTCTCGGAACGGAATAACATTTTTGAATTAAAATCACGTGTTTCTGGTCTAAACTGGAAGTTCGTTTATAGTTAATCGGGTCCTACTGCCGCTATGTTTTCCACATGTGGGCTTGGCTTTCATCTATCACAGTTCTCAAAATTAAGAAAAGACAGACAGACAGACAGACGAGTGGGAATTTATGGATCTACAATTTTTTCAAATTCCTGCCCAAAAATTCTCTTATTTCATCAATTTTCATTAATTGATAATATACTTTAAATAATATTTATTTAAAATTTATTATGATAGAAAATAATAATAATAATAATTTATTGTAATTTATAATACGAATAAATTATTTTCTTTTTCAAAATAATTTAAAATTGAGAAGTGTTAAAAAAGTTAATCAACATTAAACGGTTTAAATTAATTATCATCTTATAGTAAAAATAATGAGTTTTATTTAATATATATTATCAATAAATTCGCATTTTATTCAAGATATTTATGAAATAAAAATAAAATTATACTTTACATATATATTTTTAAGATAAACATAAAATACATTTTAAATTTTATTATTATAGTTTAAATATATTCAAAGATGTTATCGATTTAAATCTACTTTCTATTGATTTTTTCCAACTTTTTCTACCTATCTGATTATGTGAAAGAATTTTCGCCTTTTATTTTTTATTGATGTTGAATGTGCACTTTAATAAAAGATTGGGTTCTCTTTCCATTTTTATTTAATATTAGATCGAGTTAGCTTTTCAATTAATATTATAAACAAGTAAGAATTATCTATATTGGATCTATCACGGTTCTTTTTCTATCGGCGCTAATTTTTCGATTAGAGTGGCACCCAGTGGGCCAAAAGCGCTATTGCCTGCATAGTACCACTTCTGGGAATCTCTTCTCCGAGAAGATTGATGGTGAAGTTGGCCAGCAAGTAATCGCTTGCCTCAAAATGATTGTGTAGTAGGAAGATTTTCTAGAAATGATATATTTTCCAAATATATACGAGGATATAATACATGAAGAATGTTATTTTTTCTATATTTGATGTATTGAGGTAATATTTAAATTTGACAACACATGAGGGAGTAAGATATAAGCAAAAAAAAGTATTATAAAAAGTATATATATATATATATGTGTGTGTGTGTGTGTGTGTGTGTGTGTGTGTGTGTAGCCATTTACATACAAAGTTAGATTCAAGAATTTTTGTATGATTAAACTAAGATTCGAATTCTACATTTATATCCTTTTTTAGATCAAATACAAGATATACAATATAAATATAATCTTGTCTTCAATTCTATGACAATTTTCATGTGTAATTTATTGTATGCATTATATGGTTTTCAAATTGTGCACGTTATATATAATTTATATATTATATATAATATATAATAGCAAATAGCCATAAATATACAGTAATTGTAAACTTATGTATGTACTGTACATCAATATAGTATAACTAATCATTTTAAAATATAGCATCGTGTTACATTGCGCTATATCTTTTTATGATTTCATAACTTAATAACAAATTATTAAGGATAGATATATATCGTATTACTGTTGATATTTAATTTATTTTAAATGTTTTAATTTAATTATTGTCGATTACTACGTTATACGTTATACGTTACTAACGGAAACAAATACACAATATAGAAATTTATCGTAAGATATAAATAATTAGGTCTAATTATTCCATATAACTTGCGTTAGGTATATACATACAGAATTAGTCATTTATCTTATTGGTACAGGCAAAACACAATATACTTGTAAGTATAAAACCGTCTTGCCTTATTCTTAGAAATAAACAATTGATATATAATACGATATATCTATTATACACGTCCTCAATTGCATAAATATAATTATTTAAGACATCAATTTACATAATCGAGTTATTACTATCATTGCATTTATTAATTTACTATGAAAATTTAATTAGAGAGAATAGACAATATGAAGAACATTACATTTAACTAACTATAATTAAACATAATTGTAAGAATTATTAATCATTTATGAATAAAATATATTTTAAAATGACTTTGAGGCATTAACGTAAAATTTTACTTATTCCATTTTAAATAATCTATTTGTAAAATGTTCTTAACGAAAACGTTTGATTTGAAAATGTTCGGACCATCTCTTTAAAGTATATTGTACAATAAAAAAATGGACAAATAACGAAACAGATACATTGTATTATTTATATATAATATACTATTATATATGTTTGTGCTTCGTTTTTAATGTCTACAGAGTATTATAAAATAAATGATGTTTATGTCTGTACAGTATGTTGCGCTGAAATACATATAGAATATTATATATATATAAACAAAATTATTTTTATAGGAAGCTATTATTACAATTAAATTATATTGAAAATCATTTATATTTAAATTTAAACAAAATATAAAGTAAAGATTAAAATCTCAAAATATTGCTAACGTTTTAGAGTTATTTATTTAAAAATAAATTAAGTTTTAAAATAATTAGTTTATAATTTTACGAAAATACGTACATACATTCACTAGTTAATTTTATTAATTTTTCTATTAGTTTAATTTTATAACCATTTTGCAATTACCTCTTTTAAGGTATTTAAAATTTTAACTTTCTTAATTAAACTGGAAAGTTTTCAACATTTATAAGTTTTAAAAATTTTAACTCTAGATATTTCATAATTGAAGTTTAGCGAGAAATTATTGATCATACCAAAGACATTAAATAATAAGTTTGAAGTTAAGATATAGCTCTTAAGTATTATTATTTCTTAATATTGACGTCCTATAATAAAACTTTTAAGTTAATTAATAATGGAATTCAAGAAATTTTAATTTATTATATTAGATAATAATATTTTACTATTTATTTTATAATTAATGATAGAATATATATAAATTTTAAGTTTAGAACTGACTTTTACGCGATAAGATAGAAAATTTATTTTTAAAATATTTATGTAAAATATTCAAAGGCAGTTTTGTAAAGATTTGTAGGTTATTTTTCTGTCAGATTAAAATATATCGAGACCTGTTACTAGAAAATATGACATATTTTGAATTTAGTATAAATGTCTGATTATATATATTGATGCTATTGATCGCATATCTGCATCCGAGCAACATTTTGGTTGAAAGGACGCTTGGAGCCAAACAGTCGTGAACATTGAAAGAAAGAGTTAAACGATACTTCTTATCTATTTTATTAACTTTGAATTTTCTTTCTGTCCTAGTTTCTAAGATTCCGAAATTAGTTACTTTTTTTCCGAAAAAGATAAAAGTAATAACTGTTTTTACTTTATTTTTTATAATAAGTTAGCTTTCCCAAACTGCACAAAATACTTTTCTAGAAATTTTGAATCGATTTACTTTAATAAGCTTTAATTAAAATTATAAAAAAATACTCTAAAATAAACTTTAATTACTGTACTTAGAATAGATTAAATAATATTTATATTCGGAGTGTTTCAGCTCTTCGATTGATATAATTAAGTAGAATTTCTTCACTAGTCTCGATTTGTAGAGCACTTCTAAGTAAATGTATTGAGAGACATCTTAGTTTGTTATAAGGTACCTACCTGTGACAATAAGTTGTCCAGCTGCACTTTGTTTTGTCTCCCCAGTAACTCGGTGATTTGTCTGGCATCTGTAATCTCGAAATCCATCTTGTTGTGTAACATCTCGAATGTGAAGAGTACCCGAAGGAAACACACTGTATTTTCCTCCTAAAATAAAGAAAAATTATTGATATATACAGTATCTGTAAAACACATGTATACCGGTTTTGCTGATAAAAGATAAATAATTAACTATATTTCTTCCAATTAATTTAAAGCTGTCATTTTATAAAAAGTGAATTTTTTATCTAGAAAGTTGTTGCGATGATAAACTATTTATTAATAAATGAAACATGAGTTTTTAAAATATCATCTTGTTATGACGCTATATTACTTTGAAAATGATAAATATAAGTTATGACGGTTGACTGTTCCTCGTAAAATCGAAATGATTAAACTAACGTTTAATAAACTTTTCAGATATGACACAAATTCCAAGTTTATTTTAAAGGAGTGTATACAAACATTGCCATAAAAATTAAATTGCTCTAAAATTAAATTCATTTACATAATTTTATCTCGGGAACTTTTATTTTAACAATAACAAGAATTTAATTAAAATTTTGAAATTTTTGGTATTTAAAAAGTATTTTTTATTAATTTTAATAACTACAAAATTATATTCTTAATTTTAGCCTCTAAATATAAAGCTATTATTTTTTTTCATAAATTAAATTAGATTATAACACCCAAAATCTTCTAGGGCATAAATTAATTCACCTGTTTGGCTTATAGTTTGCGTGTCATTTAGAAAATAACCTAGCGCAAACTAAGCTTTAATAAGATAAAGATAACATTGCTTCGTCGGAGATTATAAAGTAGATGATAATCAACGAGAGAGCCACTAATATTAGCTATGTAACAGTCACCACATCGAACCACTCCTCATCTTCTTGGTGTAAGATTGCCCATCATAGCCTGAAGCAAATTGCTTCTATATTGACGTCTAGTACAAATAGGTCGCACGTACAAGAGGGTAGGGCTCTTTTTCCACCCCTATATCTTTGTTTCCCCCCTGCACGGTTCTCCTTCGCTTCTCAGACAAATGAGCTGAACGACGCCTTTCTATTTGCAGCAGTTGTTTGATAAATGACTTTATTCCTGCACAATTCGAAGAGTAGAGATCATATAACTCACCTTGTATTCCATCTGACTGAATGACCAAGCCATCTTCTCTATACCAAGATTTAACAGTCACGAAATCTCTAACAAAACTCGGAATACTGCACTTTAATACAGCTGTATTATCCCTTATAACAAACTCATCGTATACTCGGATCTCGTACTGTTGCGCTAATACTAACGTAATGAAAAACAAAGAATGAGCTATTAATTAATGACATTTTAATAGTGTACAATTTTTATGAGATGTACGTACTTAAAATTTAATTAAAAAATAAATGTTTCAATTAAAAACTCGTTACTAAACTTAGACTGAACTTAAGTGCTTACAGAACATTTTAAAATAGGTTATATATTTATGTAAATGACGTGTAGTTCTTTGTTAAATAATTTTAAAATGTTGATAGAAGTTTAAAATAATTTTTATTTTAAAGATTATAGATAAAATCCAAAAAATTAACAATTCTGTATTAAGTGGAAAATAAATAGCATCATTCAGTGTATTACCTGAAAGTGCTATCAATACAATTATAATGAGAAAATGCTTCAACAACTCTACTTACTTTTCAATTAAATGTTTTTTCTATGGTTTAAAATCTGAAGGGACGAAGCACTTTTAAAGATAACAACCGACAAAAAAATCAGATCTCTAAAATTACTGAAGGCTAGATTTAAAAGCTATTCGATGCTTGAAAATAAAGGAATAATGATGTTTCGATGTATTTTAAATCAGAAAAGATACTCAGATACAAAAATCTTTTAAATTTTCACGCTACACTAAGATAAATTTTCACTAAACATAAATCCAAACAAACATTAATTTTAATTTACAAGCTTTTGAGTTCATTGCTGTTTATCTATTCATCAACAACTAATGTTATTTTATTTTTCTACACCTAAGTACTCATACAAAAATTAAATTTTACTGATAACTTAATTTTAATTTCCATTAATATATTATTTTAATTACGAAATTTGTTCTCTTTTACTATCACTATTAATTAATATTTTATGTTCAGAAGTAATAATAATTAAAATAACAGTAAGTAAACTTAATCGTATCGAAATATCAGATTAAGATTAATTTTAAAGTAGCTAAGTTTTACAGGGTTTTTTCTTTAAATAATTTACTTTGTAAGTTTGATTTATATATAAGAGTAGGATGTGTCTGTATTCTTTCTGAATTAAACCACCTTTTTCGGCTAACTCAATAACATTTGATAATATTCTTATAAGAATATATGTAAAAATGTCATTTTACATCAGAAAACAAATAAATATATTCATGTTTTTCGAGAAAATGTGTTATTCTATCATCCTTGAAACATTGATAAGAGATACATGTTTGCCCATCAAATATTAAACTTTAAATTGAATGCTGTTATAGAAAAAATAGTTTAAATCTATTTATAAATATATAGAATTTTACTCATAAGAACTTAGTGTACATTATCACTACACAAAATGCTTTATAGTGCTAATTACTACAAAATATATAACATTTTGTTAAAAGATATAGTAAACATTATCTCGTATCTCCACAAAAAACTTATCATTTGCATTTATAGAAGATTTAGAAGAGTTATTTTTGTATCATTTCGGAATAAAAATAAGCTATTCCTTTAAAATCCGTTTATCATCTTCGGAACCAAATGATAATGCTGACAAGAAGGTCTTTCCTGAATAAAATTTCTGTCCAAGCGATTGATAAACGTCAGATGCCTTAAGGCATGATATAAATCAATATAGTCAAGAATGAATACCGGTTATGGATATTATCTATGTTATTTTCGATTCTACAATTCAAATTTTGAGTATTCGATTATCTTATCAAATCTGATTTTTTAATATAAAAATAAAGCAAAAAAAGTCATATTTTTCTCTAATGAGATCGTCGAAAATATGGAATAATTTTTTATAATATATTCTAATGATTTTTTTACCTTCATGAATATTTTCATGATCTTATATATACGATTTTATCATTTCTATTCTATACATATGCACACATCTTGTATATTTCTAAACCCACCATTTGTCGAGAATTTAGTTTAATTTTATGATAAGAGTTATCGATTGATTTATTTAAAATAGATTTATATGCAAATTAAACTTGTTAGAGTGATGTACGATTTTTCGTTTTGCTCTAACAATTATGGTCCAAATTATGTAATTATTCAAAATGTTAATTATTTATTACTTTAACTTTATTTGCCTTGACGTGAGAAGAATGTTTTCGAATCAAAATTCAAGATAGCAACATGTTTTTCAAATAGGAAAAATTTACCGAAAAATGTTATTTCTTGGATATATTTTTTTCAGCTATAAATACTTCACAACATCTATCGATAAATAAGAGCAACTACGTGAGGAGACATAACATACCTTGTCACATAAGTCTGTCTGCATTTAAGTTACGTATTCTAAATGCACAGAGTGGCTTATGCTAAATGTTATAAAAGGAAAAATCCATAATAAACGATAAAGAAGCATTACTTCTTCGCTTTAAATCCACATGCAATTTCTTTTAGAAAATCTCAAAATTAAAAAGCAGGACGAAGCCGCGTTTATGTATTTTTTAAAAATTCTTTTCAGTAATGAAATACAGAGTAAGAGAAATATCAAATTCTATTTAAATAAACTTTATAAAACTATCATAACATTCGATAATTACATAATTTTACAAGAAATTAAAAAAAGATGAAAGTGAAGTATTGATAGGATTAAATTTTCATGCATCATTCAAATTTTTGTGATTTTAATAAGCTTAAAATCATTAAGAACATAATTAATTTCGAAAATTAAATGATATCAAACATTTAAATAAGGTTCTAAATATGATTATCTTTAATATTGCAAATTCCGTAAACTAATAACTTAATAACTTTCAGAAATAATTGGTAACAGCTTCAATAGATCAAGAAAACAGATTATTATTGCATATTTGGTCGAACTGTTTCTCCGGAGATATCAGTCTGCCTGTTGGAATTAAAATTACTTACTATAGTTTTAACAATGGGTTGTCAGCAACGGAATTAAATCCTTAAGGAATTGTATTGATCCTTTTAGTAGCAAGATGTCATTAATTGGAGTTAGGAATAATTTCGGAGAGAGTTGTCTGGTTTATGTTGTCAATATAACATCAACTCCCAAACTGCTGATAGTGCAATAGCTAATTTTAATTTATTGAAGTTTCATTACAATTTATAATTATTCAACGAATATTTTATCTTATCTGATTTAAGCTACTTTCGAAAAAAATAGAATTCAATTGAATGACTTAAAATAATTAAAATGCACGTAAATTTATATATGGAAAAATATATAAATTTATAAAAATTTTACCTAAAATGCTTTCCTTTCCGCTCAAAGTAGGTTAAGAATTACATTAGAGAAATTGAATTTATTTTATGCACAACAAGAAAACTGCGGAGATAAGATCAGAAAGTATAAAATTTCTATAGAAAATGTAATTTTGTTTTTTTATATAAATATATTTATATTTTATAAAAACAAGAACCATCGAATCTACTGCTTTTTGTTTCCTCTTTGATCCTTTACCTATATATAATATATATATGCCTTTATTATCAATTTATTACTATAGCAGAATTTTCAGTGCAATGTGTTTTAAGTGAAGATTTTTCAAAGGATTTTTACTTAACGAGAGTAATAACTTGTATTTAAGTAAATTATATTTTCATAGTAACATTTTATTAAAATATTTGAATCTATAAATCAATAAATTATGCTTCACTTTAAACAGATCGTATTGTTTCCGTTCGATTACAACAATAGTTGGTCATCCATATTATTCAGTATGAACGTCTTAATCGTCAAGAGATTATCCAAGTTATTATAATTTGTTAACAAATTAAACGTGTTATTTTTAATTCTGAACAAGTAAAAGCTTTTATAATAATTTTATAAATATTTTTCTTTTATATTAAAAGAACTTTTACTTATTTATAAACAATTAGAAAAGTGTTTTACAAAGTGGCACGTAATCCTATAAGCAAAAAGGAAAATTGCCTAGACCGCAATCAACAGGGTGCACAAATCAATCTTTTACAAGAAAACATTTCCCTCAAAAAACTCCCTGGGAGAAAAATNCAAAATTTTCTTGCAAAAATATACTAGATTACAATTAAATTTAACATTAGAAAAACAATATGCGTGTAATAACACTGTAAATAAAATTTACGGAAGCGATTAACTATAATGAAAGTAGTTTTTTATAACTATAAAATTTTATTTGATGAAGCCAACGCTCTGTTTATACATTTCTAACTGTTACATTTTCTCATTCTATCCGTTCGAAATTAGAAAAAAGGAGAGAAACAAAATAAAAAATTGTCCCATATAATGCGAATTACAGAGAACATAAAGAGAAGGAGGAAAAAAAATTAAAATTTGAAAAAGTACATTTTCCTTACAAGAATTCTCACTTGCATAAAAAAAAATTGAAGTGACATTATTAGAATTACCAGTAATTTTGCCTGTTTTCAGTTCTCTTATGGACTTCACATACTCATCAATACGTATAAATGACTTGCATAAGTATGATATTCAACACCATCTACTTTATCTCAATGGGAATAATTTCAAAGTAAGAAAAAGTGGAAGAAAGGTTTCTAAAGATCCATTAGTAACGTATACTTCTAATTTTATGAATTAAAAATTTTTAAACTTACTTTTCAGTGATTTCAGTGAAACAATTAAGAAATAATCTTTCCTTGTTTAGTATGATTATAAAAACATAATTATCTTCATAATTTATATTTACAAAATGAAACATTGTTAATTATTTTATAAAAAAACAATATAATAATTTGCTTTAAAATCAAATAAAATTACAATAATCAGTAATTATTTTAACAATTTAAATTAACAGAACAATTAATATTTTCGTTTATAAATTAAATAAATAATTAAAATTGATTTGTCATTTTTCTTGAATTTAATCAAAATTATTACAACATTTTTCCCCGTGCAAGATAATTTTTATATAGATGCATAGTTTGAAATAATTATAGAAAAGATAATAAGTGGCATTAATTTTTGACTGTTAAAGAAGAAAAGTAAATGCTTAATTTGCTTGTTAATTAATTAATTAAACTTTTGGTATCAATTTAACTTCGAGTTGGTAGAATTCAGGCGTATAATTCGAGGCTTCCCACTTTAGCGATTTAAGCTGAATTCTAATCGCTTACTAAAAATCGTTTTATATCTTTGCATATACTTTCGACATCAATTTGAAAATTTTAATTTGTCTCGCATGAACTGAAAGAGAATCGTATCACTTTTTTATTTTCGAAATTGATGATTGCTATCACGGAAAAAGTTCTATAAAGTTTCAATAAATTAATGATATTTTATCATAAACCTTAGTTTATTTAATTTTGTAACGTCCGAAAGATAATTCACGGATGCGATCAGAATGACAAGCAACTTTTTAACAAGAAGGAAAACAAAATAAAAAATAAAAATAAGAAAAAAAAATGAAAGCTTGGAGCGCTTTGAAAATAATCAACAGATTTCATCGAATAACAGCACACAACACATTTTCTCCGTATTAAAGTCTTTATAAACGACTCTAGAGAACATTGGGATGCATGAAGACATATTGTCTGCTGTCACCATAACAGCTGAGTGCTGGTAAAGCTACAGTAGTGAAGCAAAACTGGTCCCAGTCTCCCAAATTGGATTGTCTTCGGCGAAATCACGCTATTAATTATAATCCGAAACGTCCCTAAGGATTCCAACACGGTTCGGTCTAATAACATAATGCACACGGTACACTGACACATTACAAGACATGTCTTTATGATTTCCGAACTAAGGAAAAATGAATATTTCAAGTCATTCTCACGAGAGGTATAATTTGCAACCGGGTCTAAACTTCAGTTTTACTAAAGCTATCCTTATCCTATTGACTGGAGCTGTGCAAAAGTTTCATTTGATACGGAAACGGAGGGAATAGATCGATAAAATGCTTTTAGCGTCGACAAGTTTGCTTCGGAAGAACGAACAAGGAGTGCGTGGTCTGAATCGAATCGGCCAGAAGAAAGATGGCCTAGCCTAGGCAACGGAGGTAACGTAATTTCGTTCTATTTCCTATGACATTTGGTCGCGAACATGGGTTTTCCATCAACTTTTGTTTTCTTCTTTAGCATCACCTCAATCACTTCTTGCAATTCTCATATCACTTACCCTACTGCATTATTAAGTATTAATAAGATAGATATATAAACTATAAATATACAGTAACCGTATAGATAAACTGTCACTTTTCCGATTGCTTTTCACTGTCAGATTTTACAGTCATAAATTATAATAAAAATACGTCACTTCTACTTTACTTCTAGCTAAAAATATTTAAGAAAATGCAACAAGTGGTTTTTTTTGGAAGAATTTATATAATAATTCAATTATTTTTTTAAAAACAATTCTTCAATATTTGTTTTATATGATTTATAATATACAAAATATATATTAATCATATGTACTGTATATACATATATAAATACATTTATATATTTATCCAGTTTCTGACGTTTTTTAGTTTTTCTCATGAAAATTAAACATTATAACCAGGAAATATATCAATAAATTATATTCCGATTAATTAATAATAAAATGCATAACATCCTGATTATCGATATAGTACATAACATCTAAGAAACAATTAATTTAATTGCATTTATAGATAATTTTTAAGAGTTTACCGAGTAAATTCAATTACTAGTAAGAGTAATAATTACCTGCTCGGACGTGAACATCTCGGCTTCCAATAGTGCCTAGAATATTTGTAGCGATACATCTATATACAGCCGTGTGGATGTCAGGTCTGTAATCATCAGCATTGAATGCTAAAAATACAAGAGATCCATTCGGTCGCACTTGTCGCAATCCAGGTATATCAATCACAGTACCTCCAGCCCTTCTTAACCATGTTATATGAGGTGTAGGTTTACCACGAGCTGTACAAGGAATCTGAGTACCTTTGGTATTATAAAATTCCACAGTGTAAGGAGGTTCGACAACAAACGTTGGGCCTTCTAGTTCCAAACTGCTACAGATACCTTGTATTTTTTGTTAAAAAAAGAAAAAAATATATAATCAAAGAATTAGATTACGTGACTCGATTACACGTTTCCGTCTCTATTCTAATCTCTGTGTTATTAACATTTAAGCAACAGTTGACTGGCAATTTGTTCAATACGTGGGCGTGTTCCGTCTCGGAAACGCGTCACGAAATATGAAAATTTATACAAAAACAATTATATTTTATCATCAAAAATAATTATATATAAATTGTTTCCTTCTTAATTGAAATGTCTTAACTGTAATTATTATTTATATAAATAATATCAGAGTTTGAACGAAATATGTATATACTTTTTGATAATTAAAAATACATTAAGAAAATCGGAACTTTTCCGTATTTATAAAAGTTTAGAGTGCAACAGATTTACTCTTACCTGTTATAAATATAGTCCAAAACAACCAGTGAGCATACGAGCGATACATGACAATCGTTGCACGTTAGCACCAGAAAATTGAAACTTCCAGATGATAAGAAACCTTCTCAGCTGGTTGAGATTGATCATATGATTGGCAACAGTCCAGGTACTTATGTTTATTAGATTATAGTTTGCACAATCCTAAGCAAGGTAAGAGATTAGGACGAATATTCCGTACACAATGTCATTGACTTGTCTCCATTTTCTAGCAGTCAGAAGTTGGTAGGAGTGTTCTAACATTAATCATTGCTTTCACGAGACCACCTGGTACCAGCACTCGACTGAAGTATAGCACGTGCACAACTGGGCGCCAGACTGACATCGGAAAACAGAGCAGGAGAAGCAGAGGAGCTCTGGGAATGCTGACTCGTCAGTGATTGGTGGAGAGTTTCCTTCGGTCGATACTGTGTCAAGACAACCGAGAGAGCGAGGATGTGGAGTAAGACGTATGGAGTTAGTAAGCGTGATGCAAGAGAACTTATTTTGATGGTTGCCTAGTCGCCTCTAGCTAAATGCCAACTTCAATTACGTTCTCGAAGAAGGTTCGCTATTTCAAAAGTCTGCACGTTGCCTTTGACTTGTTGAAGTCTGATGTTTCAAGAGAAATGTTGTCAATAGCGATGTCGCTATGGATTTCATATTTATTATAATGATACGCGACTAAAAGCAGCGCTGTAGAGTGGTTTATTGTTTACATAATTAAAATAATTTAATTTTTCCTTTGAAAGATATGTACGTGTACGTAAATAATTTGGTTAATATTAAGAATATTTTTGTGTTAAAGAAATTTTAATCTAGAAAAAAACTTATATATAAATTTTTTTTAAGTTTCTTTTAACGATTTATCGATATTTCACGGAATAATAAATAAAATTATTGGTGAAATGCGTGACGAGAATATCTCGAGCAATTCTTTCACTTTTAAAAGTTTCTCTTAAAAATCGAAGAATGGTTGTACCAGGTGCATCTTGAAATTTTCACTTTTCTTCAAGCACCCAAATGAAATTTTGCTTTAGATTCTCTTATTTTTTTTCTCTCTTTTAGATAGAAACTTGAAAGGACTTTCCTTTTATCTGGGTACAGAGGGTGGCTTTTAGTAAGCTTTCAGAGAAAATTTCTCACTAGGGATAACTGCAAAACAGACATGTTTACAGAAGAAAAGATAATTTTTCTTAATGCGTTTCTCTAATAAATTTTTATTAAAATATTTATATATTATTAATTACGTTGAATTGCTTTAGATGTTCGTTAGTGATAACTAAGATCAGAAAAGGCATGAAAGAAGCTTACATAAAAACCTCATCGATTTTTCTGTGCTGGCCCAGAAAATCCGTGAATTTACTCTCTACACTTTGTGACGCATGAATGAATTGTGAAGCTCTCCTGTGCTCACTTCAGCAAAAACGGATAGCAAATGGGAAAATTCCCTTTCCGCCCAGGTCAATTCCCAACATTGGAAAAGATTCTGAATAATTGAGAAGCGGTGTGTGTATGGAAAGATTCGATGTGGTAAAGGCGAACGTATAAAAATCGATTGTACAAGAAAAGACAAAAAAAGGAACTAACTGACTAAAAAGAAGGGCAGAAAAAACAATTTTGTTATATTGAGTATGTTGACTGAGACTGAGAATTAATGAAGCTACCGGAAATATAGTTGGGCTCAGGTGGATTACTCTCTCTTTTATCTACTTCCCATTTTTAGTGTTGGCACTCGTACAATCATTGAGAATAGCGAGAAAAAATTCATTTTTTCCGTCCATTTTCATCATTTTTACAGAAGTTTGGACGTTGAAATTCCATCAAAGACATAATTCATCATGTTAAAGTAGTTGTTGAAATATTAAAGGTGGATTATTTTATAGTTTTATCAGGCAATGAATATAAATATCCGATTATAAATTGAAGCTGCGAATAGACTTTAAATGCTTCTTAAAACTTCTCTCTTTTTGCTTTATATAGGCTCTAGTAATCCATCTTTTTTGATTTGAGCATGATAAATTTACAATACACCTGTAATCAGAGTATTAATAAAATCCAAGAGAGAATAAAAATAATAGAATAAAAATATAGAATAAAAAAAATGTAAAGATGAAAATATTTTAATGAAATTTCTATTTGTTTATTATTAGAACAATAGTTAATCTTATTTACTTAAAGTCTTAATCATTTGTGGTTTTAAGCTATTAATAGAAATATAATCATGTAACTGTTGCTCGTATATGTAGAATGAGAACCATGCAGCATGTTTAAACAGTAATAACGAAGTAACTCCCTATATAACTTAAAATATTTATAAATAAAACTGAATACAATTATATTTATTTAAATATCACACATATGAAAATTAATTAATACAGAAAAATAATATCGTTAATTTATAAAGTACTCGTATAGGTAGAAATATAATAAATATTCATTTTAAATATTTTTCTGTCTTTATTTGAACAATTGATTTTAAATAATATGTGTATTGAAAATTCACGAGTTTGTTTCATTTCTGAATTGAATTCATCATCCGAAAATAATTGTGCTTAAACATTAAATGCATTCATGCTAATATCTGTCTAATAATATATAATTTACGATAGTAAACTTTCTTAAGATTAAAAAATGTAATTATAAGAAAGAATTCTTTGAAATCTGATTAAAACGAAATTTGTAGCAATAGATAAACTTTAGGTTTTAACTGCGAGAAACAATAACTTAGTTAGTTATATCACATAAAATAAGTTTGATAGAAAAAAAGATTTATGAATTTATTTAAAGAAATTTCTATCGAGTTAGGTTTTAATAAATATATAAAAATATCTAATGTGTAAATTAGCGATATTTTGATATTAAAAACATTTAGCTGTTTTCATATACAATTATTATATCGAAATTAGTAGTATTTATAAATTATAGTTTTAGAATAAATTTATAATAATGTATATAATATATTTATAGCTAAATTAAAACAAACAAACTGTCTAATTGCATCCTAAAACATTGTTTATTAATTGCATAATTTACGAGTCAACATCATAGATTTTTTACCGAAATTTTTAAGCTTAGGTTACATTATCCTTTTTAAAATGCTTTTAAAGATACATTTTGTATAATTATCGCCTTTAGAATCGAATATATAAAAATGAAATTACCTTAAAATCATCGAAGTAAGAAATTTTGTTTCATTCTTATATATTTCATGTATAGATTTAAAAATTGAAAAAAAATTTGAAGAGATTATGTAAATTGGATAAAGGAAACTGAAATAAACTGAATTTATTATCTAAGTTTTGTTGTTTTCGTTGATTTGAAAATACCGAGTGGTCTTGTACGTTGTAAATCTCCAGAGAAATGTTATAATGAAGAAAATTTGATTAACTCTCCACATGCTTTTCTAATATTATTTCGCGACTTTATAATGATGTTGAATGTCATGACTTTTATAAGTTGTTTTATTTTCACATGGTTAACATTAAAATAAATTTCTTATTAATTTATAAATCATTATTTTGAATTTTGTAACATTATTTAATGTGTTTAATAACTGAAAGCAATATAAAAAAGGTAATGAAATTGCATTTCAAAATAAAATTATTTTACGATATTATCATTAAAATTATAGAAATTGAAATTGTAAAGAGTAGATAATATTTAATTTATGTAGAACACATTAGCTTAAACGTATGGAAGTAGCAAATTTAATAGAAATTTTTCTATATTTCTACTCGAAATCTCTTTCATAGAAAATGGTATTTATTATCAACAGATAGAACATATGTACTGTACACAGTCATTCTAAGTATCTGTTATATCATAATCCAATTATTCTTGTGACGTAAGCAACTAAATGCTTCTATTACCAGATCATATTATTTATTAAAAGTTTTCATGAGTAAAACATTTCTTTAGAGGGGAAGAAAAATATATAATTAAAAAAATCAATAAAATCTAGTAAATAATTGTGTGATATTTTATAAATGCATTATATGAATTATGGTCAAGTCAAGTACGATGCACAGAATCATTCTACCTAAGGTATCCTGTAATCTCATTAAAATCCAAAGTACAATATGAAAAATATGAGATATTATTTAGTTATATTTTCAATCAAAACGGATAATTGAAATCTGAAAAATTGTAGCTATATTTAACACTTTTAATTCGAAAATTCAATTTAAAATTGTAGTGTTTAAATTAATTAATGATTCGTGCTTAGATCGTATGATTTAAATCAAGTAATAGATTTCAATGCTGTTTAAATTTAGTAAATAAATTTATGAAATTTATTAAAAGAATAGCCATTTAGCATTTTTTTAAATGTATAAATTGCTTTCAGAATTTGTAACTGAAAATTCTTTCAATCAAGGATTTGTTGAGGAATTTTTCCTTATACATTTATAGAGTTTATGAATCAAACTTATAGCCTATATGTTAATTTTTAAAATTGTTTCTTTGTTTAAAATAATGTTACGTTAATCAAAAATATTATTCAATTAAAACAAATTTTTATAATTATTATTAAATATGTAATGATTAAACATGATACTAATATGAATTTTATATAACTTATATATAGCCTTTATATCTTACGTATATAATTAATATACGTAATTAATCATTAATGATATTTTCAAATTTTATTTAATAAAAATTTAAAATAATTTATTTATTATAAACTGAAATATTATCGATAATATATAGAAACCATCGACCTAAGTAATATTTTATTAATTTTTAGTGAAAAGATAAATGAATATATTTTTATTTTAAAATTATAAAAAATATTTAAAGTGTTTTTAAAGATTGAAAAATTATAAATTTAACATACTTTTTCCCATTAAACGATAAAGAAATCGTTATAGAAAATCACCTTCTAGCAATAAAGTATTTTATATATTTATTGCATATTTAAAAAATTCTATTAAAAACCTCTCAAACCATAAAATTTTGTTGTAAAACACAAATAATCTATAAATTTTTGTTTAATCATATACAAAATACAGAATGTATCTATTTTATCTTAGGAAAAAAAGTCAAATCTTTTTTTTTTAATCAGAAGAAATACAGTGATAAAAGGAGATAAGATAACACCGATAAAGGGATACAGTGAGATTAAATCAAGCATTAAATCAATGATTTGTTAAAAGTCACAATTGAATTTTTCAGATGACAGCAATATTTATTCTATAAAAATTTATATTACATTTTTTAATATCTATATAAATTCAAAAATTCTCGTTGATACACTTTTTTTTTTATTTTTCTTTTATATCTTCAGAATAATTACTTAATTATATATTC